CCCGGACACCTGGGCCCCCAGATTAGGAAGTGGGGGATGGAGCCGGACGCCTGGGCCCGCAGGGCAGCGCAGAGGCGGGAGGCGGGCGGAAGGCTCAGTGTTTATTGGTGGGGACGTCGCGGTGGCACCCGGGTCCCCTCCAGGGTGGCACCCGGGTCCCCTCCAGGGTGGCACCCGGGTCCCTTCTGTGGGTGGCACCTGGGTCCCCTTGGCAGGTGGCACCCAGGTCCCCACTGCGGGTGGCACCCAGGTCCCCTCTGTGGTGGCACCCGGGTCCCCTCCAAGGTGGCCATTCCGGGGTGTCACCCGCGTCCCTGGGTGGTGGCGCTCAGGGCTGCATGCGCAGCGCGCCGTCCAGCCGCACCACCTCCCCGTTGACCATGGGGTTCTCGGCCAGCGCCAGCACCAGGTGGGCGAACTCGCCCGGGTGGCCCAGCCGGCGCGGGAAGGGCACCTGCTGCCCCAGGAAGCCGCGCACGCGCTCGGGCAGCCCGGCCAGCAGCGGCGTGGCGAAGAGCCCTGCGGGGACGGCGCGCCGTGGGGACCCCCTTCCCCGGCCCGCGTGTCCCCCCGGCTTTTCCCCATGCCCCCACCTGGCGCGATGGTGACCACGCGGATGCCGAGCGGCGCCAGGTCGCGGGCGACGGGCAGCGTCATGGCGGCGATGCCGCCCTTGGAGGCGGCGTAGGCGGCCTGGCCCACCTGGCCCTCGAAGGCGGCCACGCTGGCCGTGTTGACCACGAGGCCGCGGTGGCCGTCGGCGTCGGGCGCGTTGCGGCTCAGGAGCTGGGCGCCCAGGCGGGTCACGTTGAAGGTGCCCACCAGGTTGACCTGCGGCGAGGGGTGCCGTGGGGGGTGCCCGCGGCGCCGGGGGCCCCCCGAAACGCCGCCGGCCGCGCCGCGCTCACGTTGACGACGCGCTGGAACTCCTCGAGCTCGTGCACCTTGTCCCGCTTGGCGTTGTAGGTCTTGAGGGCGACGCCGATGCCGGCGCAGTTCACCACCAGGTCCAGCCGCCCGAACCGCTGCTGCGCCAGCGCCAGCGCCGCCGCCACCT